ATGTGCAGTAGAACGATGTAGGGTTCAGTTTTTCAACTGTTTGCTTACCAACCGTGACTTGATCTGATTACTTGTTCTTGACAGTCGTTTATGCATCTAGTTCAGGGTATCAGAATGTGAGATAGAGCATATAGGTAGCCATGTGAGATTTGAGCCTGCTCGTTTCTTTCTTGTGCGATAGATCCCTCTTCCATGATGTGTAGCATTCACGTTGTCACTAGCTAAGATGATGGGGGCATAGGATTAGCCCACGCCCAAAACTGACTGTCCTGATGTGTCATATCCCCTAGTCAGCCCCTTTGAGCCGTGTGTTATCCTTTCTTTTGGTCTATAATGAAAAAATCACCCTTGTTGCATCTTTTAGAAGGTTCCACAGAGTGGTTTTTACATATTCTCTGCTGTTTCTGCTAAAGTCTATGTGAGTGTTGGAGGTAGTGCTTAAAGTTGGGCAGATGTTTGAAATATGTGCAGAAGTGGTGGCTCTCTTAAGAAATGAAAAGAAAAATGAAAAAAAACAAAGAAAAATTGAAAGCAAAAGAGAGCCACTACCAAAAATCTGAATAATGCCCATTAAGTAGTGTTTCTTAGCAGTCTGGCTTGGAAATGCTGATGTTTATGCCTCCTTCGCTCTTGTGCTCTTGAGATATTGAGTAATGCAGATAGCAGAAAGAAACCGGTTTGTTTGACTGTGATTGTGTGTTTGGAAATGTGGAACCTTTTGCTATGAATACTTCCACCACCTAAAAGGCCTTTTCCCCATGTCCAAGACCCTAGCCAGTCATTTGAACCTGTGTCTAAGACCTCCTGATTAGTTAGTGGTGACACCCTATGTGAACTCTAGCATTTAGAGGCTGCCATCATGGTGAAGAGATGAGGGATTGAGAGAAATAGCATGCGCATCTTTCGCATTAAATTGTCCTGACCCCACTGGTCGAGAGTGAGTGATTCATTTCATATTCTCTATACTCTTGTACCCCGGTGAGGACCTAGATTGCTCGGTCTCTGTTCTGATGTCTTGAGTTGGATGCATGAGTTGACTGTTTTGAGTGAGTGGTCGAGTCAAGTCTGGGTTGGTTGGTGAACAGAAGGGAAACTCTTCCGTTGCTCGATTTGCTGCACTCGAATGTCCTTTGTGGTGGTTGTCCAGGTTGCTATTAAAGTTGTTCATGTGTTGATGTTTGAAAACCAGTTTGATTCACGTGTTCTGTGCCTTTATGACTTGTCCCCAATGTTGGTTGACTGAAATATGTGAGCTTACCTTGTGTAGTACTTGGTTTGCTTGGGGACAAGCAAACAGTTAAGTGTGGGGGAATTTGATAGCATCGTATTTGCACGTGTTTTCACTCTGGTTTCCTGTCCATTTTGGCTCGAATTGATTGTTCCTTGGCCTATTTTACGCTAGGTTGTGTTGTTTTGTCGTATTTCAGGTCCTAGCAAGTAAAGAGGTGCATAGGCGCAAGTTTCGGGTCATTTGGAGGTCAATGGCGAGTCACAGAGAGAATTACGGGCAGCCCCTGCCAAATTACGGCCGTAATTGGCCAGGGCATGCCCGTAATTAATGGCCGAGCCTTCTCCCCAGAATTCCCTCTCGGTGGTAAAATTACGGGCAAGACCCCAAGAATTACGGCCGTAATTCCCAAATTACTGGCGGTAATTGGGAAATTACGGGCGTATCTCCTCCTCCTGCAGCTTAAGTGAAACGTGCGTTTTGGTGCGAATTACGGGCAGGACGTGATTACGGCCGTAATTCTGCCCGTAATTCGCCAGAGTCGGGTTTTTGGAGGCAGATTCGAGCCAAGGAAGAATAATTCGATTTTTCTGGGCAAAAACAGAGTTTTAGAGAGAGAAAGAGCGAAGAACAACCCTAGGAGCTATTTTGGAGTGGATTTCTCATCATTGAAGCCCAGATTGCGTCCTAGGAGTGAAGATTGACATCCAGAGCAGATTTACACTCATCGTTATGAGTAGGACTACTCTGATTTCTGTTTTCCTTTCTCTCTCTATGGAGTAGAACCTTTCTCTCACTTGGGTATGAGAGAACCCTAGTTCCTTTTGTTAGGATTGATTGTAATGACTTGGGATGATATTATTTTTGATTTTTAATCGAATGATGCATGTTTATTGAATTGATTTGAGTCTGATCAGCTTTTCTCAATTTCTGCTGCAACCTGAGATAGATAGAATCTGATTAGGTTGTTAGAGCCTCTTCATTCGATAGTAGGAGATTGGCTATACGAGAGTTAGCCAGTTTACTGCTTTGTACTGGAATTCAATTCCAGTAGTGGAGTTCTGTGTTCATAGCCTCAGCTCACTATCCCGGTGAAGACTAGTCGTCTGCCGGGTAGTTAGACTGAGAGGGCTTGGTCAGCTTAAGAGATTCCAAGCTACTGTCGGATCTTCCGCAGTCTAATCAGCAGTAAATCAACCCAGGGAATTGCAATTGAACCTAACTAAGGGGCTAGGGGGACTCATTCTCGAGTGACTCTTACCTGCTTTAGAAAACCGAACAGTTTACTGCTTTCTTACTGCTTTTGTTTTTAAACAACAATCACTCGAACTAGTTTGCTAGATAATAGAGAATCACGGAGTAAGCAGTAGATCTAGACCCCGGGTTGATAATATAACTTGCCTGTTACTGCATTCCCGGACTGCGATTACACTTGGTCGCAGTTTGGTGTTGTGTTTTAGCGTGTCAGTAAACCCAAAGTTATCCTTTAGTAAGATCTATTTCATTTTAATGGGGCTAAAAATATTTTCAGCTAATAACATTTGATTAAACCTCAACAATGATCTGAGATTAAAGCAGAGGTACGAATGATGGACAAAGTGGCAGCTGATGGGGTCAAGTGAGAATGATAGAGGTAGACAAGTTGCAGGTTGAGCTGTAAAACGAAGACCTGAATGTTCAAGACCTTACATATCATATCCAAAAATATGCAGCCTCTCTTGACCAATTGTTGGAAAGTGACGGCCTGAGCGACTGGATTACCAAGGATATAGGTAGACAGGTTACGGGTTGAAGTGTAAATCAAAGAACTACAGAATTCTAGAATAAAGTATGAATGAAATTGAACATAGTTAAAACATGTAAGAGAGAATGAAAAAGGACGAAAACAAAAGAGAGAATGAAAAAGAAGGTGAAAATTGGACGGAGGAAGATAGTATTAACCGATAATGTTTGAGAAAAGTAACAAATAAGGGGGGAAAGAAAAATGGAAGTATAGCGAGTGTGATTTGGCTTTGTTTAATTCTTTGTCCATTTTTACTTATGGTAGTAATTACGTATATATCTTTATGACACTTCTAACAACAACAAATAATTATTTTTCTACTTGTATTTTGTAATATTTGTAACTATAATTCTTTTTATATTTATTTCTATCAAATAAATATTATTTTCGTGCCATGTCCGTTCTTATACTCAACGAAGTCTCGAAAATATTCGGCCTGACACGGCCTACTTATATACTGTGTCGTGCCGTGCCCATGAAGTTTAGGCCCGGCACGGCCCATAAATTATTCATGCTCGTGCCGGCCTGACCCATTTATTTCGTGCCCGTGCTCGTTGCTAGCCCATGGGCAGCACGACCCAGTGCCCACCTATAGTGGAGAGGAAGATCCTCGGGACTTCCATCACGAGGAAGTACTTAGATCCTCTCAAGGTCGTGGCTCAAATGGAGTCATTGCTTCATTTCCCTCTCGTAACGAAGGATGATGTTGTTGTTTCCCCCGACTCCAAACTCGATGACTTCTCTTATTACTCCCTGTGTGATTTCCAGGTTTGGGCGATAGATTCTTCTTTTCCGGGTTTGTCATTAATTTTTCCGCTCAATAGTAAGGACAAATAAAGTTCAAAACTTGCGCATTATGAATGTAATAGGTCTGTTAAAAATGGCTTAATGGTGTGGTGTTTCCCAGGTGAAGAAACACAACAAGCATTGCAAGACCTGCAACAGGTGTGTTGAAAGATTTGACCGCCTTTGATCCTGCCTAGTTCCACCGCTTGCCGGTGTTGTTTTTCACGGATCCCCCTGTTTCCCTTTATTCTTAATTTTAATGGTTTATAATTTTATTTTTAATAGTTAGAAATGAGCTGGAAATTTTAAAAATGTAATTTTATTATTTTTAAATTGCCACGTCACACATTTAACGGTAAACTTTTAGAGTTGACCGCCACATAAACAAAAGTTTACAGAATTGGGCGGAGAGTGACCAAACGTAAACGGTTTCAGTAAACTGAAGTAACACCAATGTATTTAAATATTTCGAGTGACCAAACTTGAACATATTTTGTAATTTCAGTGACAAACCATGCAATTAACCCCATTACATAAGATCAAGGTTGTCCATTTGTGAGTCGACCTGTCAATTGACCTACTTTAACCTGATTCAGTGAAAAGATGGGTAACACACATTTGTCGGGTCGATCGCTACAAAGTATCGAGTTGGAGGTCAATATGTGTTGGTTTTTTTATTTGATTTGCAAAATGCCTCTATTTTTTGGTTTTTCTTTTCGCCTAACCTAATTTTTTGAATTTTAAGTTGAACATTTAAATATTGATGTCATATAAGTGTGTTTGAATTTTTATTATATTTTGGAAACAAATACGACATATTATTTTGGTGTATTGTTATATGTATTTTGATATAAATTAAAAATAATATATTTAATTTTTCATATACATATAAATTAAATTGAGATAAAGCAGTCGAATCATTGACCATCAACTCTTTGCTTGACTACACCAACAGACTAAACCGGGTTAACAACATCGGATTAAAGATGAGGGAGGGCCGGAGGGGTATTTAGTATTTACGAAGCAGCAACAAGAAACAAATATTACTAACAGAAGGAAAAAAAAAAAGAGTTTTATTTTTCCGCTTCTGTTATTTCAGAGTTCGTGTGTTCTTTTTTCGGCCTTCCTTCGATCTGTGTTTCAACACAAGTCTCTCTCTCTCTTCATCCTGCTCTCTCGTAGTGCCCCCACCACCAGGAATACCAGTGGCACCTGCGCCATCTCCACCTGCTGGTCCGCCTCCTCCAGGACCACCGCCGCCGCCAAAACCCCGCGCCCCGCCTCCGCCTAATTAAGTCAAAGTTAAAGCCTTCACCTCTAGGGCCAAAGAGGCCTGGTGCTTCTAACGATCCAAATGGTGATGACGATGGAGGTCAAAAAGCTAAGCTCAAACCTTTCTTTTGGGATAAGGTTATGGCCAGTCCTAATCGCTCCATGGTATGGCATGACATTAGCGGTGGATCTTTCCAGTAAGAATATACAAATCTTTAAACTTTCTTTGAATTTCTGTTAATAAAATTTCTCTATCTTTTTCACCATCCATGTTTGTTTTGATTTTTACATCTTATCATCATTGGCTTTGCAGGTTCGACGAGGAGATGATAGAATCACTTTTTGGCTATAATGCTAATAAGAATAAGAATAATAATGAGCGTAAGAGAGAGGTGGTTGACAATTCAGTTCAATACATTCAAATTATAGATCCTAGGAAGGCTCAAAATCTATCTATACTTTTGAAAGCACTAAATGTGACTACTGAAGAAGTTCTTGATGCTCTTCGAGAAGGTAAAAAATTTTGCTCTCTCTCCTGCTAATTTTTTCTGATCCAACATGCAAGAGTTCTTACACTTGGAACTCTGGCTTAATCCAGCTAACGAACTTCCAGTGGAGCTTCTCCAAACTTTGTTGAAGATGGCACCGACAGCAGATGAGGAATTGAAGCTGAGGCTATATGCCGGGGAGATTTCTCAACTCGGCCCTGCTGAACGTTTCCTTAAAGCATTGGTTGAGGTCCCTTTTGCTTTCAAGAGAATTGAATCCTTGTTATTTATGAGTTGCCTTCAAGAAGAAGTTACCACTCTTAAAGAATCCTTTGTGACTCTAGAGGTGAGGGAATTAAATAGTTTCTATTTTTTTCTACGGAACATGGAAATCGCAACTGCAAAAAATGAAATTTGTCCAAAGATTTTCCACCTATTTTACCTAAACTAAAACCCCAAGTAGATACTATTTATTTTGTATGTATTATTTCCAATTTTTCAGCACAAAAATTTTCTCCATTCAAAATGGTAGGTAGCTAGCAACAAGCTAAAAAATAGCAGGTTATTCCTGAAACTACTAGAAGCAGTTCTCAAAACTGGGAACCGAATGAATGACGGTACATACCGAGGTGGCGCACAAGCATTCAAGCTTGACACCCTTCTAAAGCTCTCTGATGTCAAAGGAATAGATGGAAAGACAACTCTTTTACACTTCGTTGTTCTAGAAATCATTCGTTCCGAAGGAGTACGAGCTGTTCGAGCGGCAAGGGCAAATGCTAGCGTATCTAGCGTAATGTCAGATGACCTTAGTGAGGACCCCAATGATCAGGCAGCAGAAGAACACTACTGTAACATTGGTCTTCAAGTAGTTTCGAGCTTGAGCAGCGACTTCGAAGAGGTGAAAAAAGCAGCAGTATTGGATGTCGACATGTTGTCATCCACACTTTCAAAGCTCAGGAAGTCATTAACAAAGGCTAAAGCTTTCGTAGAGTCAGACATGAAGAGCGATGAAGAGAGTGAGTTTTATGCAGCACTTGTTGGCTTCATGAATAGAGCTGACTCGGATATCGCATGGCTTTCAGAGGAAGAGAAGAGGATATCAGGACTTATACAGAGCGCGGCAGATTACTTCCATGGGAAGTCAGGGAAAGAAGAAGGGTTACGACTTTTCAACATTGTTCGGAGTTTCTTAACCATGCTTGACAAGGCATGTAGAGAAGTAAAGGAAACGAGAGCTAAGAAAGTACCTACAACTAAAGTGTCTATGAAGAAAGAGAACACAAGTGAGGCGTCAAGTTCAGTACTTCAACAACAACAAGTTGAGAACAAAAATCATCATAACCGGCTGTTTCCAGCCATTGCTGAAAGGAGAAACAACGAATCATCTAGTTCAGATGATGAAAGCTCAGGTGATGAAGATTAGTCCATAATTTTCCTCTTCTTTTAGATTTTGTTCAGATAGATACGAAAAGAAAATTGCCAAATCTTGTATCTACACACTTTCTTGTTTGTATATATTCACCTAAGATAGAGAAGGAAAGATGTCATTTTAGAATTTCTTTTTAGATATAGATTACTTTTTTGTCATTAGGTACTACTGAAGGGACTCGAACCTAGGACCTCCAGGTTCATGGCTAGTGGTATTACCACTAGACATTCCTTGTTCGTAAGATGTAATTTTAGAATTTACTAGAGCATATTCATAGAGTTTTTAGACACAAAGGTGGCATTGGAAATCCATAACATAAATGTAAATTGAACCTCATTAATTGACAATTGGATGACTATTTGTTAGCCAATCGCCTCGTCTTTTCGCACTAGTGGTTATCAAATTGAACCAATTGTTTGCAAAATTGCTCCCCTTGATAACTTGTTTTCTTGTGCATTTTTAATTTTACAGCTCTTTGTTACTTCTCTAACCATTGACTATATTTACTTTGTAATCAATATAAAGAAAAGATCGAAAAAAATGTGCATACGAAAATATTGATGTTGGCTATCCAAAGGGCCACCACAACATGAGACTTGAGATGCAAGGATGTTTTAGTCATTGGTACCCAAACCAGAAAGCATGTTTAAAACTCTCGGTGAATTAACTCCAAAAGCATAATTGTATAAATTAACACATTCGTAAAGAACCCCCCTAACAAACAACCATCGGACTTGCTGATGGTGCATTTCCTAGCCTCAAATTTCATAAATGAATCATTAATTGAGGCGTATAGGCCACTCATTGAGACGTGTGGGTCCTCAAGACCATGATCACTAAAAGTCCATAAGTAGACAAATTCGGCCGAAACAGCTCGGGATACACTAGAAAGCCCACCCAGAGGCGGTCCTTGTGAATGACTAAGGGAACCGCCCGACATTATTCTCAACGTAAACCTGGAAGACCGCCCGACATAAGGGTCTAACGATCTCCTGACTGCCTCAGTACGGAGACTGACAAAGATACAATTCTGACTACGCATAGAATGAACCTAGAGGCATCCATAGGCGCCCAATAAAGCATTAAATGTCATCACCCCAGCCACTGCTAGTATAAATACCCCTCATTGGGTCACATTTATGGTAAATTTCAACCACCACTTTCTCACTCTTATTTACTATTCTCTACTTCTCTCACTAACTTAACATCGGAGGAGGTCCCAGACTTCCCCTAAGGACCTTTCTTTGCAGGGCACGACACGACCGCCCCCGATCAGTGAAGCTTCACCAACAGTCTGGTACTAATCAGGCCTAAACATTTTGGCACCCACCGTGGGGCCTGAAGACTTCGCTACGACAAAGATGGGGGACGGGTTTGAAACCCCGCTCAAAGGAATGGTCGAAAACAACACGTTGAGGGATATATCAGCAAGAATCGTGGATGAGACACAGCTGGAGGATGTTTTCAAAAGTCAAGGGCAACAGATCGCGAGCTTGCAGAATAGCCTCGACCAAATACTTCACCTCTTGAAGACAAGAGAAGACCCCACCGAGGCCTCAAAGGGTAAACTCCGGGAGGAGAATCAGAAGACCGCCTTCATCCCCTACAGTCTTCCTCAGACAGAAAGCGGGGGAATGGAGGCAGAAGACGTGGACCTCGACTTCCTCGATGAACATTTGCGGTCCACCTACAGGAGGCACAAGGGGCCAAATATTCTACGAAACCCCCTAGCAAAAGAGTTATTCAAAACTCCGGTGCCCCCAAACTTCTCATCACTGGGGCTAAGCACCTACAGCGGCACTTCAGATCCCACGAACCATCTTTCTGTTCATTCTGAAAATGCAGTACAAGCATACGCGGATCTCAAATCTCGAGGTCATCGAATGGGGTCCACCAAATTTACGTCCACCGCCCTGCACCCGAACCAGGATCTGATACCACTTGTCAAATTGGGGAGCTCAATTAGTACGATATTGTCCGCTTTTGGCCAAGCCCGCACGATTTTACTCTTGGGTGTCCTCCCCAAAAGGCCTTGTACTAATTGGGCTAGGTGGACTCTAATATACAATGGTTCCTTCCCTTGTATTAACGATGTGGTACTTGGATTGTCCCATAACATGCAGCTCATAAACGCCTGTGATTCAAACATGTGTCGTGCGTTCCTGGTTACTTTCAGTGGTTAATGTCGTACGTGGTACACCTCCCTCCCTGACGGGAGCATACAGAACATTGAAAAGTTTTCTATGGTGTTCTCGACAAAGTTTGTGTCCCAACGGAGACTCAAACTCACCATCTCGGCTCTCATCAACTGCAGTCAAAGGAAGGAAGAGTCGCTAACAGAATTCTACGACCGATGGAACGCAATCGCATGTGGAATACAAGGAATCTCCCCAGTGGTGTTCGCGGGAAACCTCAGGATGTCAACGAATAGCATTGAACTGAAGATATCCTTGATAAAGAAGGAATCCTCCCTCTCATCGTGGTCGGAGCTGGACCAGTTGGTCCAGCGGGCTATATTACTTGAAGAAGCTTTAACCGCAGACGATCGAAACAGGCAGCCTCGACCCCTGGTCGAGACCCATGACTGAGGAGACGCTCCCCAGAGCAAAAGGCATATCGAAACCAATACTCCGAGCAGGACAAGAGAAATGAAATGTTTTCCGCTGATCGAGAGCATGGAAGAGAAAAAAGAAGGGGAGGGAAGAAGCAAGAGGCACTTCCCAGGCAGGAGTTGCAAGAGGGAAAGAAATGGTTCAACTGACACCAAGCGGCCACCCACGACACCGCAGAGTGTAGGGAATACAGGGCCAGCCTAAAGTACCTCTCTCCAGGAGATCTTCGCAACCACCTGGAGATCAAACAACCACACAGAGAACGCTCCCAAGAAGCACATGAAAGGTCTCGGAGCCTAGAGTCAGACAAAGCGAGGACAACTAGAACAGAGAGATCAAGATCCCCCTCGCGAAACCAGGCGCCCTCGCCACCGTGGCTCTCTCCCGCCTACTAGAAACCGATCGACGACAAAGATGAAATGGAAATCATAACAATTGCTATGGGCAGGAAGCGCATGAGGCCGAAACGAGACCGCATTGCACACTGCCTGAATGTCCAACGAAAGGCGCCAGCTGACGTCGCCTTCTTTGCGTTCGAGCTGGTCAAAGAGGAAAACGTTGAAGACCCACTGGACATCTCCTTTCAGACCGCGAAGTTTAGACTCACCCGCGCTCTGGTAGACAATGGAAGCTCTGCGGACATCCTCTTCTACTCAACGCTCAAGAGAATGAAAAAGAGCGTCCAAGACCTTCATCCCTCCAACACCAGTCTCAGGTCAATCGCCCTCAAGGTAATCATAGGCGAAGCGAAAGTCACAAAGATGCCTCTCGTACAGTTCCACGTGGCAGATTGTCCATTCGCATACAACGCCATTCTGGGACATAGTTTTCTCGCAACCTTTGAGGCGATTCCCTCCATGCCACCAAACGTTAAAATTTCCTGGCGGAGGACGAACGGGAAGCATCCGATGAAATCTCAAGGAGGCAAAGTAATGCTACCAAGCAACCATTGAAAATCTGGAAGTCAATCTTGTCGACGCCCAAGGGGACATTCACCGCCCAAAGGCATTGGAGGCTGATGTGGCAGTCGCGTTAGACATGGAACAATCAAAAAGACAATGTGAATCTCAACCAATCTGCCAGAGAAATAAGCCCAAAAGCTCCTCAAACTTCTCTGGGAATTCCAAGATCTTTTCGCGTGGGGGTCGGAAGACATGCCATGCGTCCCACGAAAGGTCGCAGAACATCAGTTATCCGTCAAAGCCTAAGCGAAGCCGATACAACAACGAAGAAGAAACCTATCACTGGAGAAACAAATGGTTTTCGAAAAGGAAATCCGGCGCATACTCAATGCGGGCATTATCAGAAAAGTGAGATACCCCACCTAACTCTCAAATCCCGTCTTCGTAAAGAAGGCGGGAGGCACTTGGAGGATGTGTATCGACTTCATCAGTCTCAACGTAGCCTGCCCCGAGGACGCCTACCCTCCTCCCCGCATTGATCAGCTCATTGACGCGACCGTGAGCCACGAAGCACTCAGCTTTCTGGACATGTTTTCTAGATATCACCAAACCCGGATGACGGAAAGCGATCAAGAACTAACCGCATTCATGACCCCCATGGCAAGTTTTGATATGTCATCATGCCTTTCGGGCAGAAAAATGCTTGGAGCCACCTATCAAAGGATGGTTGATGCGGTCTTCAAGGACTTAATGGGAATAAATGTGGAGACATACGTGGACGATCTCCTAGTCAAAAGTAAAATGGTTGGCGAGCACCTGGCCGACTTGTACGAAACATTCGAGAATTTGCAACGATAGAACTTGCGGCTTAATCCGCTCAAGACGGGTAAATTTCTCGGTTTCATGATCACCAAGAGGGTAATCGAGGCGAACCCAAAGCAAATGGAAGCTATACTCAGCCTGAAGCCACCAAAGTCGATAAAGGGAATCCAAGCCTTCAATGAGAAAATGGCCGCCTTCGGGAGATTCATCCTACGGTCCGCTGACAAGTGTTCACCTTTATTTCAAGTGCTCAAGAATTCAGCGCCCCGGTTGAAATGGGGCGCCGAATGTGACAAAGCGTTCACCTTGCTAACACAACAACTTATCTCTCCACCAGTCCTGAGCACCACCCTCTAGGGAGAGCGGCTCTATCTTTACCTGACAGTCTCCAAGCAAGCCGTGAGCTCTGTCCTTTTTAGAAGAACAGAAGACGGTTCAGACAAGCTGGTCAACTATATGAGCAAAGCACTACTCCTAGTAGAAACGAGATTCCTACTAGTAGAGAAGGCAGTTCTGGCCGTAACATCGGCAGCTAGGAAGCTGAGGCCATATTTTCAGGGACATCCCATAATGATATTGTCTAATCTCCCAATCAAAGGGATCTTACAAAGCATGGATGCCTCGGGAAGGCTGACGAAGTGGGCTATTGAGCTCAGCG